CAAGTAGAAACAAGATTGGATGTGTTCTTTTCTTTAATTAAGGCACTTTATTTTGCTGTCTCGGCTAGTTCCATCAGTTTTTCCAGCAACTTCTCCATTATGGCAATTAAAATATCCTTCCGTTTTTGTGCAAAAAGCATTCTTGCTGCTCTCAACATATATAACAGCAAAGTTTGAGATTGTTTTTCAATCACTTTGTCTATTAAAGTCTCTGCTTTATTTTTATACCCACTTTGAGAATCTTCTGCAGTAAAATATTAATCTTACATCAGTATTTCTTTGCTTTGTCATACATCCAGCAAAGATGGTAAAAAGATTCTTGTTTATATTTACATTTTGAACATGTATTTGAATTTTCTTTATACATCTTTGGCCAGTTATCATGCATTAAATAGAATGATACATCATTTTATAAAAAAATTCTTTTAAATTATAATTTAATAGGAATTTTAAAGCTTTCATCCAAATATTTTCCTGTTGTTCAGGCATTATATTATATACAAAATTCTTTGCCATTGGATCAACATATTCAAATTCTTAATAGCTCCTTACCAGAGTTCCCTGGCATTCATACTATGTGGAGATGCTTCACTAATCTTTGTATAGTTGCTTATCCTTTCTAGAAGAAAGGTTTTGCAGAGCCATTTCTTTCTTACTTCCCAGCCTAATTGATCGACACTGAGTGCTTTGCAGTTAGAAACCACTTCATGATGTGTGATGACCATTAATTCTTTTCTCCTTCATACTATCTCAAGTCCTTTACAATGGACGTCAGAGATCCTGAGAGAATGAGGCATCCACCAAATCTCCCTCAAGAACTGTTTTTCAGGAGGATCTCTCAGGAAGATCCAAATCAGGACACCTCAAGAGGTAATAATAAGGTCCTTCCACTCCTCTGATAAATCCTAACTTTCTTATCTTTTGTGTTTTCTCTTCGATAGCATACCTCCTCCCATTTCATTAATTATGCTTTTTGAAATTCTGTCTTCCTCACAGGGAAAAATAGAAGGAAATTGAAGCTTTGTTTTGGGGGAGCGGAAACGGTGATTGAACTTCCAACTCAGGTAAGAGAAGAACATTCATTTACTAGATTTGTATTTTCCTTTTCCCTCGGGAAATCAACTGATGTACATAGTACAGGTAGTCCTTGATTTATGACCACAATTGAAACCCAAATTTTTGTTGCTAAGCAACATATTTGTTAAGTGAACTTTGCCCTATTTTACGACCTTTCTTGCCACATGTGTTAAGTCAATGACTGCAGTTATTAAATTTGTAATATGGTTGTTAAGTGAATCTGGCTTCCCTATTGACTTTGCTCTGAAAAGTCACAAAAAGTGATCACATGACCCGGGGACCCTTTAACCATCATAAATATGAGTCAGTTGCCAAGCATCCGAATTTTGATCGTGTGGCCATGGGGATGCTTCAACAGTCGTAGGTGTGAAAACTGGGCATAAGCTATTTTTTTCGGTGCCTTTGTAACTTTGAACGGTCACTAAAAACTGTTGTAAGTTGAGGACTATCTCTACTGCCTTTTTCCATTGTCCCCTCTGCTTTTGTTTGGGGATTTTTTAAGGATTTTTTTTTTAAGACTAGTACTTTAAAAACAAAACTCTTTTTGCTAATTATTCTCCCAACTTTTCAGTAAGTAATGTTTTACAGTTATTTTCACGGCTCCCATTCTTTCTGCAATTCTTTGAGTTGCATTTGTGCAAGGATCCTCAAAAGTATTTAAATATTCACACCGGGATATTACCATTTTTAAAAGCTTCATTTACAATAATTGATAAAAAAATAAGTGATTAAGGACAAAGATTTTTAAAATCCCAGGACAGTGGCCATATAGAAATGCCTCCAATAAAAATTGTTCTGAAAGAGCACATAATCAAGGCCCTGTTGGCTTGCAAAATACCTTTTAATCCCCTGATTTGTGCCTGGATTTGGAGGCCAAACCATCCAGCTTTGCAAAGGCTAAGAAATGCCTGCCTCAAAAAATGTTCTCCATCTCCTTATTTACTGTGGAGTCAATGGCTCAGACTACTAGCAGTTTCCTTGCAATCTGAGGAGGGGCAGAGTCTCTGGATATTGATGGCACACAACACAGATCCCTGGCTGATCTCTCCCAGCTCTTTCATGAAGGTGTTGAGGATGAAGAGGATTGCTCCTTCTTAGCCATTTCATAACATTCTACAAAGAATCCCTTCCCCTACCTACAGAGACATCTCTGCCTTTAAACCCAGGACGGGTTAGTGTCACTGATGGTGGGTTTTCCAAGGCCCACCTGCCAATTGATTCTCTCCTGACACTGAGAGCCTTTTGATTGAGGGTCGATGAATTGATCCTGGCTGGCTGGCTGCATATTGGATAGATCCAGAAGGAAATTGGGGTTACTTAACTGAATGGCACTGGAAGTCCTACAAAATCATTCAAGTTGATGAAACCTGTCTAAAACATTTCTTCAATCAAAAGCTTTTTCTTCTGTCCACTTTCTCACCTAAACTATGGAATCCTACTAAACACAGCCATTTACCTTAGTGCCTAGCTTTGCTTTGGGAATTTCCAAACAATAGGACAGATCCTATAGTCCCTCCTCAGTCTGTTCTATACTTTTTTGCCTTTCAGGAGGGTCTTCTGCCCTTTGAGGAGGTGGCTGTGTATTTCTCAGAGGAGGAATGGTCTCTGCTGGATCCTCGCCAAAAAGCACTGCATTGGGAAGTCATGCTGGACAATTGTAGGAACGTGGCCTCTCTTGGTAAGGGTTTCCTATTCTGCAGTCAGACAGTTCAGGAAGACGCTTTGTAGTTAGATGCCATGGATTACTTCTTATGAAATCATCTCCAAATAGATATTCTCTCCTCAGAGGGAGAAGGAAAAGTCATGCTGTTCTACTGCTCCCAGGAAGGAAATAGGTCAATGGCATTCTGCTTAGATATATTCTATCCCATTTGTTTTTCTATTTCTGTTTAAACACATTAGTGACAATTCCTTAGTTTGCGGTAATGCCAAATTCCATCACACAAATTTTAACTATTTTTGGCCCAGATGCTTCCATATTAATTCTATCAAGAATTGCCTTTCACGGTTTTTGACTTAATGCCTTTTACAAGTTTTTATGCCTCATGAATAGTGATATTATCATTTCTATACCAAACCATTATAATTATACAAATATACAATATATATGAATCTGGCAAAATACCTGAAGGCAATTACAGGTAGTCCTTGAGTTATGACTATAATGGAGCCTGCCCATTTCATTCGTAACTCAAAAATTCATGGGAGTGAATCTTGTACCTTGAAGAAGATCACTCCCTGCTTTCACCCACATATTTGCTAATTGAATGCATGGGCAAATAGGCGGTTCATTATTTGCACATGAGGTATCTCAGGGTGGGGAAGGCCATAGAGGACCTAGTGATGGAACAAGCCACCAAGGCCTCCACAATTCACAAAGATACCTCATGCTTCCCCCTCCATTTCTGCCATGCCAGATTGACTTACTTTGAAAAGATCCATCTCCTCTCTGCCGGGTTCCTGCTTTTCAGGGAGAGGGGAGTCAATGGAAGTTCCTGCGTGCTGTAATATCGCATGAGTTCAGGCACCCATCTTTTGCAGAGAATGGGTGCCTGAACTCTCACGGTGCTTGTGGTGCTTATCTCCTGCTCTCCTCTCCCCCAACCCTGGAGCCACATGGCCACCGCCCCTGGCTTCTGTTCTGCCGGTGGAGGCCTGTAGATCAGGCTTGTGAAGGCCTATGGAAGCATCCCCTTGCCTCCTTTCTGGGCAACAGCGGCCTGGAAAAGGCCTCCGATGCCCGGATTAGGCCTCCAGAGGCAATCGGAAGCCTCCCCCAACTTCCGTTCCATTCTCTGTATCAGAAAAAGAGGCCTAAACTACCGTGAGATCATTTGAAATCAGTAGCGTGAGATCTCACATCACTGATCTCATGTGATCTTGCATTACTTTAGGCTTCCATTCTCTGTGAACGCACCAAAGGCCTAGAACAGCCAAGAAAGCAAAGGTGAGGACCCACAGGCATAGGGTCTAGGGCAGTGTTTCTCCACCTTGACAATTTTAAGGCATGTGGACTTCAACTCCCAGAATTCCACAGCCAGCAATGCTAGCTGTGGAATTCTGGGAGTTGAAGTCCACATGCCTTAAAATTGTCAAAGTGGAGAAACACTGGTCTAGGGAGACTGGGGTAGGGGGGTGGGAGGAAATAGGCTGAATGTTGCAGTGCTACTGTCGTCATTCGTAAGGGTGAATGACTGTCGTAATGTGGAAACATATGCAATTTCAGGAGTTTTTCGTAAACACTACTGGGTGATTATCGGATACATTTGAACATTCGCTAAGCAAAGGTTCGTAAGTCTGGGATTATCTGTAATATGACTTCTGACAGGGTGATCTTTTTCCCTAACCTTTCTATCACTTTTATTTCTCTTTTCCTTTGAAGGTGATAATGAAAATGACAATAAAGCTGCAGGAGAATTAATCAAAGTGTTCAAACAAAGAGATGTAATGGAGAAGCCTGCAATTCAAACAGGATTCCAAAGGCAGGAAAGAAACACTTCAAATAATTGGAATAAGGAAAGCTCATCTTCCATTGATGTTCAGATGCAGGACTTCATTGATCAACGAGAAAAAATAAACAAAAAATACATTGGGAAAGGTGTAAGACTATTCAAAGACACCATAGATGTAAATGAGCGCTATCTATCCCAAGTCAAAGGAAAAGATTATACATCCAAAGACAAAGAAAAAAATTACAATTGGACTTTCACACTTTCTCAAGAAAATGGATCTCTTATGTCACAGAAAAGTTTTCACATGGGAGAGAAACCAAATAAATGCACTGAGGATGGAAACAAGACTGTTTATAAAAGGGAAAGCACAAAGGAGAAGCTATATAAATGCAAGGAGTGTGGAAAGGGCTTTAGCAAACCAAGTCATCTTACATCCCATCAAATGATCCACACAGGAGAGAAGCCATATACATGCATGGAGTGTGCAAAGGATTTCAGAACAAACAGTGAACTTACATCCCATAAAAGGATCCATACAGAGGAGAAGCCATATAAATGCATGGAGTGTGGAAAGGGCTTCAGCAAACATAGTCATCTTATATCTCATCAAAGGATCCACACAGGAGAGAAGCCCTATAAATGCATGGAGTGTGGAAAGGGCTTTACCCAACATGGTCATCTAGTATCCCATAAAAGGATTCACACAGGAGAGAAGCCATATAAATGCATGGAATGTGGAAAGGGCTTCAGCAAATACAGTAACCTTATATCCCATCAATGGATCCACACAGGAGAGAAGCCCTATAAATGTATGGAGTGTGGAAAGGGCTTCACCCAACATTGTCATCTTATTTCCCATAAAAGAATCCACACAGGAGAGAAGCCATATAAATGCATGGAGTGTGGAAAGGGCTTTAGAGCACATGGAGATCTTACATTGCATAAAAGGATCCACACAGGGGAAAAGCCATATAAATGCATGGAATGTGGAAAGGGCTTCACAGCACCCAGAGATCTTACATCCCATAAAAGGATCCACACAGGGGAGAAGCCATATAAATGCATGGAGTGTGGAAAGGGCTTCAACAACCACAGTAATCTTACATGCCATCAAAGGATCCACACAGGGGAGAAGCCGTATAAATGCATGGAGTGTGGAAAGGGCTTCAGAACAAGCAGTGATGTTACATCCCATCAAAGGATACATACAGAGGAGAAGCCATATAAATGCATGGAGTGTGGAAAGGGCTTCAGCAAACACAGTAATCTTACATCCCATCAAAGGATCCACACAGGGGAGAAGCCATATAAATGCATGGAGTGTGGAAAGGGCTTCAGCCAACATAGTAAACTTACATCCCATCAAAGGATCCACACAGGGGAGAAGCCATATAAATGCATGGAGTGTGGAAAGGGTTTCACCCAACATAGCAATCTTACTTCCCATAAAAGGATCCACACCGGAGAGAAGCCATATAAATGCATAGAGTGTGGAAAGGGCTTCACCCAACATTGTCATCTTATTTCCCACAAAAGAATCCACACAGGAGAGAAGCCATATAAATGCATGGAGTGTGGAAAGAGCTTCAGAGCCCAACGAGATCTTACATCCCATCAATGGATCCACACAGGGGAGAAGCCATATAAATGCATGGAGTGTGGAAAGGGTTTCAGCCAACACAGTAAACTTACATCCCATCAATGGATCCACACAGGGGAGAAGCCATATAAATGCATGACATGTGGAAAGTGCTTCAGAACACGCACTGATCTTACATCTCATCAAAGGATCCACACAGGGGAGAAGCCGTATAAATGCATGGAGTGTGCTAAGGGCTTCAGCAAACACAGTCATCTTACATCCCATCAAAGGATCCACACAGGAGAGAAGCCATATAAATGCATGGAGTGCGGAAAGGGCTTCACCCAACATGGTCATCTTGTTTCCCATAAAAGAATCCACACGGGAGAGAGGCCATATAAATGCATGAGGTGTGGAAAGTGCTTCAGCCGATACCATACTCTTACTTCCCATAATATGATTCATAGATGTGAGAAGTCAATCCCCAAAACAAAGACAAATTTGGGTGAGAATGACTGCTAATTATTGATTTAGTGGTCTCAGTGTATGGATTTCGTATTTACACAGAACTCTGAAAAGAATGGTTTTTTATGTTTCACACTCTTATCAGCCCTAGAGAGATGAATTTAATAATAAAACAATGGGCATGTGCCATTATAATTATGATCTGCATGTTTGAATGTATCTGTGTATAGGTTCATTTTATTTTATTATTTAGAAATGAGTTTCCTGTTGCCCAACTGTCATCATTCTCCCACTTGGTCACTTGTTTTGCAGATACACAATTATTGGCAACCAGCCCAAAAACCTCAAACAGAACTAAAGCCTCAGCAGAGAAAAGGGAGGTGGGAACGGGATGTTACAGATTCTGCATTTCTAAGCACTGGACACAAACTGCAGCAGGGAAACGAAATGATACATTTGCAACAAGGAGAAGCCATGCTAAACAAGTTATCTTTGTTCTTTGTTCCTGAGCAAAGTTAGAATAGAAGCCAAACAAACCCCCAAACAAACAAAACTACAATCTCAGACTTCACCCTCCTTCCTTCTTTCCCTCCGCCTTCCAGGCCAGAGTTAAACAGAGAATTTTTTTTTTAAAATGATCAACACAAACCTCTCTTCAGATTCTCATGCAAACACCTTTTATTTAGTCTACAACAACAACAACAAAATCTGCAATTTACTGTTTCTTCCACAGCCTGGGATGGGGTTGGGAACTCACACGCACACATTCACTCTCCTAACCTCCGGGGGGGGGGGGGGTTCCTTAACAGTCACACAGTTTTCATGATTCCCAGTTTCTTCCAGCAGTCTCATATTGCAGGCAACTAAATTCCTGCCTTTTAGTATTTCACACACATGCACATTCATTTGCACATCAGCATACTCACACATTCACTTCCGTTCAAACTGCTTGCATACACAATTTCACATACAGATATTTCATTTTCATGCTTTTTTCATGCCAACCTTTTATTTTTAAATAAGGCCTTTTTGTTTGTTATTATCAGAGGGTTTTGCCCCTCTCCCAAGACATATATATACACAGATACCATTAAGACAACATTTCCAGGCCTGTTGCTTGTCCTCCAAGAAGTAAGAAAATCAAGATGTAATTCCAGTCAAAATGTGATGTTGGGCCCTGAACCATTAATTTTCTGGATGGCCAAATATTTAAAACTCATCAATTTGGAGTTTGAGGCCAAAGCAGCCTCCCTTTTAAACTTTCTCCAAAAACAGAGGGCAACATTTATGGTTGCTTCCAATTTCCCCCCAGCAAATTCAAAGGGGAAAACTACAGAGAGCAGCCTCCTCTCTTCATGTCCAAGGACAGTAGATGGCGCCACTGTTTAACAGAAAAAAAATGTCCATGCAAAGAGCCAGATTAGAAAAAAAAAACTTATTCTTTGAATTTTTCTTTTCTATAGTGCAGTGGTTCTCAACCTGTGGGTAGGGACCCCATTTGGGGTTGAATGACCATTTCACGGGGGTCCCCAAACAACGCAGTCCGCCATTTTCCCCCCCTTTTCCTTAGTTGTGCTACTCCCTTTTATTCTATTGGCTTTTGAAAGCCAATAGAATAGACTCTCTTGAATAGAGTCTAATTCTATTGGCTTTCAAAAGCCAATAGGAATTGTCCAGGCTGTCTCTGCCCTGCTGAGCCCGCCAAAAGTCCCATTCTGCAAACGGTGCTGCACCAGTTGAGTAGTCCTCGACTTACGACCGGTTGAGTAGTCCTCAACTTATGACCGGTTGGGGGGTCGCGGCATTAAAAAGGTTGAGAATCACTGCTATAGTGTCTAGATTTGTTAAAAAGATAAGCTAGCCAAATGTTTTGCATCGTTACTTTCTTGAAAATTATTTTTTTACTGCCACAATTTCAGTGCTTTTTAATGGGCTAAGATGCAGCCCATTGGAAACACATCCCCTCCTTTTTCTTTGTCTTCCCTGTTTCCCTATTGTTTAACCTATTTTCTCTTGTCTTGTCCTTAAAGGGTTTCTTGGGTTTTTTTTATCAAGTTTGAGGCTAGCTAGGCCCCCCTTTTTATCCCAGATGAGACCCTACCTGATAACAGCCTGAAACTCAACAAGCACTCTCCCTATAGCTCCGGAGCATACCTCTAACAGGAATTTAGAAGAAGGTCAGAGAGGGCCAAGGGTTCACCCAAACATCTAAAGGACTAAGTTAGGTTCCTGTCAAGTATGAGGGAGGCTTAATAGTTCTCCAGAAATCAGAGCACACTCAAAAGAAGGATGTTATATTATGTTTAATAATAAAAAGATACTGTATTATTGTTGGGTCTACAAAAGATGTATGACTTGTGGTCTGCCAGTGAGCAGGCGTAAGATTATTTAGAATCAAATTTGCATGCTCAGTGTACAACTGAGACCTGAGTCCACCAGTATCTGTGCAGAAACAGGAAACATTATTAATTCCAAGGCCTGAAAATGTATGAAGGAATTGTCACATGCACATCAATGTTTAGCATCTGGGAAGAACTGAAACGATGAAGAATTCCTCTCTCAAAAATGAAGCTGGAATGACCAGAAGCCCCACAAGTGATTGTGCAATTTTTTTCAAGCATTTTGCTTTTCTATAGTGTGATGAGGACTAAGAAGTCTAAATTTGATTTAAATAAAATTAAATATCAATGCTGTGGTTATGTTTGAGTCATGTATTATACTCATGTATTAACTCTTTAGTATTCCAGCTGAGCTATTCAAAATCTTAAAAGATTTGCCAGCAAATTTGGAAAACTCAACAGTGACCACAGGATTGGAAAAAGTCAGTTTACATTCCAATTCCAAAGAAAGGCAATGCCAAAGAATGTTCAAGCTATTGCACCATTGCACTCATTTCACATGCTAGTAAAGTTATGCTTAAAATCCTACAAGCTAGACTCCAGCAGTACGTGGACCGAGAACTACCAGAACTACAGGCAGGATTTTGAAGAGGCAGAGGAACTAGAGATCAAATTGACAACATATGCTGGATCATGGAGAAAGTTAGGGAGTTCCAGAAAAACATCTGCTTCTGCTTCATTGACTATGCTAAAGCCTTTGATTGTGTGGATCACAACAAATTGTGGCAAGTTCTTAAAAAGATGGGAGTACCAGACCATCTTATTTGTCTCTTGAGAAACCTATATGTGGATCAAGAAGCAACAGTGAAAACTGGACACGAAACCACTGATTGGTTCAAAATTGGGAAAGGAGTCCGGCAAGGCTGTATACTGTCACCCTGCCTATTTAACTTATATGCAGAGCACATCATGAGAAAGGTAGGGCTAGATGAATCAAAAGTTGGAATTAAGATTGCCGGGAGAAATATCAACAACCTAAGATATACAGATGATACCACTCTAATGGCAGAAAGTGAAGAGGAACTAAAGAGCCTCTGATGCGGATGAAGAAGGAGAGTGCAAAAGTTGGCTTGAAACTGAACATCAAGAAAACCAAAATCATGGCATCTGGCCCTCTCAATTCCTGGCAAATAGATGGGGAAGAAATGGAGGTAGTGACAGATTTTATTTTTCTGGGCTCCAAGATCACCTCAGATGGGGACTGCAGCCAAGAAATTAAAAGACGCTTGCTCCTGGGGAGGAAAGCTATGGCAAATCTAGACAGCATACTAAAAAGCAGAGACATCACCCTGCCAACAAAAATGCATATAGTCAAGGCCATGGTTTTCCCAGTTGCAATGTATGGATGTGAAAGTTGGACCATAAGAAAGGCTGAGTGACAAAGAATTGAGGCCTTTGAACTATGGTGCTGGAGAAGACTCCTGCAAGTCCCTTGGACTGCAAGGCATTCAAACCGATCAGTCCTAGAAGAGATCAACCCCGATTGCTCTTTAGAAGGCCAGATCCTTTGAAACTATTTGAAACTCAAATGCTTTGGCCACCTAATGAGAAGGAAGGACTCACTGGAGAAGGGTCTAATGCTAGGAAAGATTGAGGGCAATAGAAGAATGGGACGACAGAGAATGAAGTGGCTGGATGGAGTCACTGAAGCAGGAGTTATGAACTTAAATGGACTCCAGAAAATGGTAGAGGACAGAAAGACCTGGAGGAACGTTGTCCATGGGGTCGCGATGGGTCGGACACAACTTTGCAATTAACAACAATAACAACATTAAACTCTTTAGTTGCTTTAAAAATGTATGAACACATGAATGATTTTGGAAGGATTTGAGAAGCTCATGTTTGAAGCTTTTTATTCAATTGTCAATCATTCTGTGTCAAACTGGACAATAAAGAGACTGAAAAGAGCAGAGAAGTTAACTTAATTCTTTTTAACCCCTTTTTCTGTCTCCATCTACATTCTTTCTTTCACTAATTGTAGCTAAATCTCTTCTCCCCCCCCCCCTTGCATTGTCACCTACAAATCCAGAGGAATCTTTTCAAACTATTGGAATCTTCAGATCTTGCAGTTAAAGGATAATTTATACTTAAATTTTTCTCTGTTCATTCCTGTTCTACAGATTGATGGGTCCCAGTATCATTGCTGGGGCTGGTCCAGATTCTTGCCTCTGAATGACAATTTTTGGGTCGTAGAGGTAAGCCAAAAGGAATAAGGCCTGTCACAAACCAGAACTTTATTTCAGGAGCTGCTAATCATGTGTCGCCATCTTGTCTCCTCCCTGCAAGCCCATCTTCCTGAGGTGTATTTCCTACATAATAAACAATAAACTAGAAAAAAAAGGATTATGAAGGATGAATAAAACAGGGATGAATGAAAGAAATGAAAGGCAAGGCAAGGGAAAAAGTGGATAAGAGAAACGAGAATAACATGATAGTCAATGGAAAGACTGTAATTTAATTAAAACAATAAAAGAAATTTAATAGTTGAAGGTTGCAGTTATACTGAGAAGCTTACTCAAGTTCCAGTCAAGGTTTAAAAACTTTCCTGCAACTTCTTCTTGCATAATTATTTTTGTTCTGCTGTGTGGTTTTATGTCTCTCCCAGATAAACCGTACTCAACGAGTAGTCCTCAACGGTATTACATCCACATGGAGAGAAGCAAGCAGGTAAGGTTCTGTCTTAGGCCCAGTATTCTTCAATATCTTCATTAATGATTTAGATGAAGGAATTAAAGGGGAACTCATCAGATTTGCAGATGACACCAAACTGTCAGGAGTAGCCAACACCCCGGAAGACAAACTCAGGATCCAAAAAGATCTTACAAACTCGAACAATGGGAATCAAGATCACACGAAGTATTATTACCCCTTTATAAAACCCTAGCCCTTCTCAAAAATGGCAACTAAATGATTATAATATGTATAATAATAGAGGGATATCTATTTGATGATCTAAAAGCACTGACATGGAAGGCTAGTTGGCAAAGGAAGAAAGCCAGAATGAGGCTGAAGAAAATTGGGGTTTTGATTTATTAGAGGGGATTTCATATTATTAATTAGACGGTTAAAGGGAGAAGCTGAGATAAGGGGAATTTTAGTCATTAAATTTAAAATATTTGGAAATTAGTTGAAAATAAGGATTCTATTTGTTTAATATTTAAAAATTAGACCCAAAAGAAAAAAATATGAATATGTTTGATTTATTGATTAACCCAGACAATATATATAATGGTTTTGATTTATTAAAGGGATACTGTATTATTAATTAGATGATTTAATATGGTGGGAAATAGATAACTTTTAGGAAATAGAACAAAACTATATTCAAATAGATAAGATTTGTATTTTGAATATTAGATTCTGTTATGAACTGAGATAAGGGAAACTTTGATTACCTAAAACCTGGAAATTACAAATATCAAATGTTAAATTTGAATATTGATGGGAAACTAAAAATTGGGAACAATTTTTGATTGTCTATAAAGATTGAATGTAAAAGTAATTAAGATATGTATAAGCTAAAATTTATTGATAAATGTAATAATGATGTTTTTACTTAGTTGATATAATAAGAACTGTATTAGATTAAATAAGAGATAATAGATATTAAGGGAAAAAGAGAGGAAATATTTGATGTTGTAACTTGAGATTTGTACTAAAGATTTTTGTATGTTATTGAACTATTGATTAACCCAGCCACCACATTGCTTTTTAAATACTTAAATGTAAAATTGGGAAATTAATAAAATATTATTAAAAAAAGAAAGAAGGCAAGTTTTGTGAAAAAAAAAAGGGGTGTCTGGCTTTCCTTTTACACGCTGCTACCTGCATGCCGAGGAAATACACCCAGTTTCTTCGGAAACCTGGACAGATGTCCGGGACACAAGCTGGCTTGGAAAGATCTTTGGTGATTGGCAAAGGGAATTTTTTCTGGCTGTGTTAGCTTTTGGAGGTCTTCTGGTTTTGCCATGTTTGATTCCTGTTATCCAAAGAACAGTTGCTTCTACCATCTTGGGGATGACGGTCATAGCATCCTCTGTAAGTAGTGACAAATCCTATGACAGCCATGGTCATGACTATCACCACAAGAAAAAAGGATTATATGTCATTGGTCACCAAGTAACAGAACGCATTCTGTTACAAAATTAAAAAGGGAGGAATGAAGGGTTGTGTAACTGGAACAAAAATAAATGGTTTAGCCTAACTACTTCAATCTCGCTTCTGTAATCAGCATCTACGTCAGGGACAAATTTCACGCAAGTGTGGGAAACATGTACATGGATGGGATATACTGAAGGAGGGAATAAGGGAGTGTACAGGAATGATTGATGTCTTCCTTATGATGTAGTGGCTCTGTTGTCTGATTTTCATTGGCTAACAAAGTTTATAAAGCAATGCTACTAACTTTCTAAGGCAGACATGTCAAACACAAGGCCCGGGGGACAGATGCGGCCCGCGAAGTGTTTTCATGTGGCCCGCGAAGCCATCCTGGAAACAGTGAGGGAACGGACCAGCCAGGAGCCAATGTACAATTTTGTGGTGGCCCTCTATGCTGAAAGACATTCAGTCTTAGCTCCATAAGCCCCTCCTCACATGGCCTGAGAGGAACAGTGAGGCTCCTCCAGTGGACCATGCCTTGGCACTTGCCCTGATCCCACCGCCTTCTGCCAGAGACCCTCAGATCTATCCCACTCCTGCTCAGGCCCCCACAGGCACCCTTGACGTGAACGATGTAGAGCAGGCCATACCCACCCAGTAGGCCACACCTACTCCATCCACGCCCACCCAGTACACTACACCCACCCTGGCCACACCCACCCAGCCCCCTGAGGGCAACCGCAATGCTGATGTGGCCCTCAATGAAATTGAGTTTGACACCCCTGTTTTAAGGTATGGCACTTCTGGATGTAACTCTGCCAGGGTTCCAGATTGTTTGCAACCCAGCTGAAGTGTATTTGAGCTGCGCAGAACTCTTTAAGGAAAGAGATCCAGAAAGGGTCAGGATAAGTGGGCAGATTCTTCCAGTGCAAAGGGAGGGTTCTTGAACTGAAGAAGGAAGAGATGCATCCCAAGTTCGCATCCAGGTTCAGTCTTAGCAATAGATAAGAAGGAACTAAGTCACTAAGGAAAGTGTCAGAAGAATTTCCTGGTTCGTTTCCAGCTAGGGAAAGCTGACTATGAAGAAATTTGAGTACAGCAGCTACGGCAAAGCAGGTCTTTATTAGAGGAAGGCAAAAAAAGTAACAGAGCAGTGACTTCAGCATTCCTGCCTTGCAAGGTGGTCTCCCAGTCCTGAGTTGTGATTTTTATATGCTTTTTCTGCCCTAGGGCTGTGGGTTTGCTGGTTCCTTCTTTTGTGTTTTAATGGTTGTCCAATATTCCCTTTCTTGTCTTAAGTGGTATTTCTTTTGTCCAAGGGGGGGGGGGTTTCCAACATTTTATGAGGTGTTACCTGCTTCTTGGCAGAATGCCCACAAGTTCAGCAAAAGGCTTTTACAGAAAAAAAAGTGTGTCTGCATGTTTTTCTAATGGGGATGAGAATATAGGAGTTTTGTCAAGGTACATTTTCCAACAAAAGAAAGTAAAAATGTCACCTAAACCAGACAAAAGAAATTGGAGAAGAGCTGATGTGAAAGCTCTCTCCAAATCCCATCAACAGCTACCAGGCTTGAAAATCAACAAGAATAACTCTCATCTGATGAATTAGCAAAGCAAGGACTTTTTTGGGGGAGGGAAGGTCAAAGGATCAACCAAATCCAGGGACTGAGTTCACATGAAACACAAAGGCTTAAAAGCACACAGCTTAACATGATGATCTGCTTGACTACCCTCTTATAACAAATTGAACTGCAGAGGATCCAAACCTAGTTTAGTGTCATCCAGCAAGTAATTATACTTTAGTAAACAATATTGTATGTAAAAATACTAGTCTTGAAAAATAGCGTTTCCTAATAAGAATCTCATTGTTGCTCAGGAACAATTGTTTTTCTGACAGTTAGAGCAACTAATCAGTGGAAACATTTGCCTCCAGAAGTCGTGACTGCTCCAGCACTGGAAGTTTTTAAGAAGAGATTGGACAACCATTTGTCTGAAATGGTCTAGGCCAGGCCCAGAGTTTCCTGCCTGAGCAGAGGGTTGGAGTAGACTTCCAAGATCCCTTCCAACTCTGTTACTCTATTCAAAGTGACTCCTCTGCAATGCTGGGATTCAAATATGTTAACAACTGGTTCCCTGTGTGGATGCCACTTCCGGAAGTCCATTCTGGGCCTGGGCAACAAAAAATTAGCTACTGGTTCTGCCGAAGTGGTGTGAACTGGCTGAATCCCACCACTGCTCCTCTGTCTTCGGAGATGTAGGTGAAACAAACCTGGGAGAAACATAAAGCAACGTAACAGGACAAAAAAAAATAGGCAAGAAAAAGATGCAGAAAAGTTTTTAAACCTTTGTTGGAACCTGAATAAGCTTCAATATAACTGCAATCTTCAACTATTAATTTGGTTATGATTTAATTAAATTGCAGTCCTCCCAGAGGACTGCAGACTGACCATTGCCTCAGAACTGGAGACCCTTCTTGGATTTTCTATCATTTAAGCCAGTTAGGACTTTTACAGGAGAGTCGCATCTCATATGTGCTTAGAGAAAAGATGAAAGTATAAAATCAGGTAAGGAAAATAGTGAAAAGTGAATATGAATATTGTACCATGAGGCCAAAAAAAAAAAAATCACTACTCATTTGTATTGGGAATACATCTCTGGAAGGATGAGTTTGGAGAGAGGAGACAAGATGGTGACACATTAGCAGCTCCTGAAATAAAGTTCAGGGTTATAACAGGCCTTATCCCTTCTGGCTTATCTCTATGACCCAAAAATGCCTTTCAGAGGTAAGAAAGAACCTGGAGCAACCCTAGCAATGATACTGGAAAGCATCAATCCACAGATCATAAATAAACAGAGAAAAACGTAAGTACAAATTCTCCTCCAACCACAAGACCTGAAGATTCCAGTAGTTTGAAGAGATTCCTCTGGATATGGAGGCGACAATGCAAAGAAAAAAAAGGTTTAGGTAATGAATGAAAGAATGGAGATGGGGAGAGAAAAAGGGGTTAGAAAGAATTGAGTTAATTTCTCTGCTCTTTTCAGTCTCTTTATTGTCCAGCTTGACCCAAAACAATTACTGACAAACATTGTAATTGAGTAAGTTGAATAAACCAACATGAGCTTCTCAAATCCTGATATATGCCCCGTCCAAATCCTTCCAAAATTTTTAGGGTGTTAATGTACTTTTAAAGCAACTATATTCTAAGGGTATAGTATGTAACATAAACACACCACTGATATTTAATTTTATTTTAATCAAATGTAGACTTCTTCTTAGCCCTCATCACACTATAGAAGAGCAAAATACGGCCGTAATATGCTTGAAAAAAAATTGCACAAGCATTTGGGGGGCTTCTGGTCATTCTGGCTCCTTTTGTGGGGGAATTCTGCATCCTTTCAGCTCTTCACAGAAACCAAACATTAATGTGCATATGACAATTCCCTCATATCATGAAGCTTTTGACTAAATAATGTTCCATGTTTCTGCATAGATACCAGTTGACTCAGGTTTCAGTTCTACATGGAAGATGCACATTTGATTACTTTTGCAGCATCCCAGTTATGCACTAAGGATGAATATTTGATTTTTTTTTCATTTGTGCTTGGGCAAGCAGCACCTGTTAAATGTCTTCACATCCCTCTGAGAACTATGACCAAGTGGGAGAATGATGACAATTGGAGAGCAGGAAGCTCATTTCTAAATAACAAAATAAAATGAACCTATACACATTCAAACATACAGATCATAACTACAATGGCACATGCATATGGTTTTATTACTAAATTCATCTCTCTAGGGCTGACAGGAGTGTGAAACATAACAAAACCGTTCTTTTCAGAGTTCTATCTGTGTAAATAGGAAATCCAGAGACTGAAACCACTAAATCATTAATTAGCATTCATTCTCACCCAAATTTGTCTTTGTTTTGGAGATTGACCTCACATCTATGAATCATGTTATGGGAAGTAAGAGTATGGTGCCGGCTGAAGCCCTTTCCACACCTCATTCATTTATATGGCCTCTCCCATGTGGATTCTTTTATGGGAAAAAAGATGACTATATTGGGTGAAGCCCTTTCCACACTCCATGCATTTATAGGGCTTCTCTCCTGTGTGGATCCTTTGATGGGATGTAAGTTTACTGTGTTGGCTGAAGCCCTTTCCACACTACATGCATTTATATGGCTTCTCCCGTGTGGATATTTTTATGGGATGTAAGATCTTGTTGTGCTCTGAAGCCCTTTCCACACTCCATTCATTTATATGGCTTCTCTCCTGCGTGGATTCTTTTATGGGAAATAAGATTACAATGTTGGGTGAAGCCCTTTCCACACTCCATGCATTTATATGGCTTCTCTCCTGTGTGGATCCTTTTATGGGAAATAATATGACAATGCTGGGTGAAGCCCTTTCCACACTCCATGCATTTATATGGCTTCTCTCCTGTATGGATTCTTTTATGGGAAATAAGATGACTATGTTGGGTGAAGCTCTTTCCACACTCCATGCATTTGTATGGCTTCTCTCCTGTGTGGATCCTTTGATGGGATATAAGATCATTGCTTCTTCTGAAGCCCTTTCCACACTCCATGCATTTATATGGCTTCTCCCCTGTGTGTATCTTTTGATGGGTTATAAGACCACGTTCTTTACTGAAGCCCTTTCCACACTCCATGCATTTATATGACTTCTCTCCTGTGTGGAGTCTTTTATGGGAAATAAGATCACAATGTTGAGTGAAACTCTTTCCACACTCCATGCATTTATACGGCTTCTCCCCTATATGGATCGTTTGATGGGATGTAAGATTACCGTGTTTGCTGAAACCCTTTCCACACTCCATGCATTTATATGGCTTCTCTCCTGTGTGGATTCTTTTATGGGAAATAAGATGACAATGTTGGGGGAATCCCTTTCCACACTCCATGCATTTATATGGCTTCTCTCCTGTGTGGATTCTTTTATGGGAAATAAGATGACTATGTTGGGTGAAGCCCTTTCCACACTCCATGCATTTATATGGCTTCTCTCCTGTGTGGATCCTTTTATGGGAAGTAAGATGATTAAGTTGGCTGAACACCTTTCCACATTCCATGCATTGATATGGCTTCTCCCCTGTGTGGATCCTTTGATGGGATGTAAGATCACTGCTTTTTCTGAAGTCCTTTCCACACTCCAAGCATTTATATGGCTTCTCCCCTGTGTGTATTCGTTGATGGGTTATAAGACCACCGTGTTTGCTGAAGCCCTTTCCACACTCCATGCATTTATATGGCTTCTCTCCTGTGTGGAGTATTTTATGGGAAATTAAATGACAATGTTGGGTGAAGCCCTTTCCACACTCCATGCATTTATAAGGCTTCTCCCCTGTGTGAATCGTTTGATGGGATGTAAGATTACTGTGTTTCCTGAAACCCTTCCCACACTCCATACATTTATATGGCTTCTCCCCTGTGTGGATCCTTCGATGGGATATAACATCACTGCTTGTTCTGAAGCCCTTTCCACATTCCATGCATTTATACGGCTTTTCCCCTGTGTGGATTCTTTGATGGCATGTAAGATTACTCTGGTTGTTGAAGCCCTTTCCACACTCCATGCATTTATATGGCTTCTCCCCAGTGTGAATCCTTTTATGGGATGTAAGATCTCTGCGTGCTGTAAAGCCCTTTCCACATTCCATGCATTTATATTGCTTTTCCCCTGTGTGGATTCTTTTATGGGAATTAAGATGACATTGTTGGGTAAAGCCCTTTCCACACTCCATGCATTTATACGGCTTCTCTCCTATGTGGATCCATTGATGGGATATAAGATGACTGTGTTTGCTGAAGCCTTTTCCACATTCTATGCATTTATATGGCTTCTCTCCAGTGTGGATTCTTTCATGGGATACTAGATTACCATGTTGGGTAAATCCCTTTCCACACTCCATGCATTTATAGGGCTTCTCCCCTGTGTGGATCCTTTGATGAGACATAAGATTACTTTGTTTGCTGAAGCCCTTTCCACACTCCATGCATTTATATGGATTCTCCTCTGTATGGATCCTTTTATGGGAAATAAGATCACTGCTTGTTCTGAAGTCCTCTGCACACTCCATGCATTTATATAGCTTCTCTCCTACGTGGATCCTTTGATGGGATGTAAGATGACTTGGTTTGCTGAAGCCCTTTCCACACTCCCTGCATTTATATAGCTTCTCCCTTGTGCTTATCCTTTTATAAACAGTTTTATTTCCATCCTCAGTGCATTTATTTGGCTTCTCTCCCATGTAAACACTTTTCTGGGATATAAGAGACCCATTTTCTTGAAAAAGTGTTAAAGTCCAATTGTAATTTTTACCTTTGTCTTTGGATATATAATATTGTTCTTTGGTTTTGGATGGATATTGCCCATTTACATCCAATGTTTCTTTGAATAGTCTTAAACGTTTTCCAATGTGTTTTTTCTTTATGCTTTCTTGTTGATCAATAAAGTCCTGCATCTGAGCATCAATGGAAGATGAGCTTTCCTTATTCTGATTATTTGAAGGGTTTCTTTCCTGCCTTTGGAATCCCGTTTGAATTGCAGGCTTCTCCATTACGTTTCTTTCTTTGAACACTTTGATTAATTCTCCAGCAACTTTTTTGTCATTCTCATTATCACCTTTGAAGGAAAAAATAAATGAAAGTGATAGAAAGGTTAGGGAAAAAGATCATCTTGTCAAAAGTCATATTACAGGTAATCTCCGAGTTACAAATATTCTCTTAGCGAATGTTCTGATCTTGAGTAATCTCACGGAACTTTAGGCCTCTATTCACTGCAACAAAGAATGGAACGGAAGCTGAGGGAGCCTTCCGCATGCCTCTGGAAGCCTGATCTCGGGATCGGAGCCCTTTTCCAGGCCACTGCCCCCTGGAAAGGAAGTCGGGGGATGCTTCTGTGGGTCTACAGAAGCCCAATCTGGGCGTTGATGGCCCTTTACAGGCCTCTGCTGCTAGAAAGAAGCCAGGGGCAGTGGCCATGTGGCTCCAGAGTTGGGTGGAACAGGCGATAGGCACTACAAGCACCGTGAGAGTTCAGGCACCCATTCTCTGCAAAAGAGGATGGGTGCCTGAACTCGCATGATATTACAGCATGCAGGAACTTCCGTTGACTCTCCTCTCCCTGAAAAGCAGGATCCCGGCAGACAGGAGATGAATCTTTTCAAGGTAAGTCAGTCCAGAGTGGCATAAATGGAGGGGGAAGCGTGAGGTATCTTTGTGAATCGTGGAGGCCTTGGGGGCCTGTTCCATCACTAGGCCCTCTATGGCCTTCCCCATCCTGAGATACCTCATGTGCAAATAATGAACCGCCTATTTGCCCACGCATTCAACTAGCAAATATGTGGGTGAAAGCAGGGAGTGATCTTCTTCGAGGTACGAGATTCACTCCCATGAATTTCTGAGTTACGAATGAAATGGGCAGGCTCCATTATATTCGTAATTCGAGGACTACCTGTAATTGCCTTCAGGTATTTTGCCAGATTCCAATATATTGTATATTTGTATAATTATAATGGTTTGGTATAGAAATGATAATATCACTATTCATGAGGCATAAAAACTTGTAAAAGGCATTAAGTCAAAAAACTTGAAAGGCAATTCTTGATAGGACTGATACGGAAGCATCTGGGCCAAAAATAGTTAAAATCTGTGTGATGGAGTTTGGCATTACCGCAAACTAAGGAATTGTCACTAATGTGTTTAAAGAGAAATAGAAAAACAAATGGGATAGAATATATCTAAGCAGAATGCCATTGACCTATTTCCTTCCTGGGAGCAGTAGAACAGCATGACTTTTCTTCTCCCTCTGAGGAGAGGATATCTATTTGGAGATGATTTCATAAGAAGTAATCCATGGCATCTAACTACAAAGTGTCTTCCTGAACTGTCTGACTGCAGAATAGGAAACCCTTACCAAGAGAGGCCACGTTCCTACAATTGTCCAGCATGACTTCCCAATGCAGCGCTTTTTGGCGAGGATCCAGCAGAGACCACTCCTCCTCTGAGAAATACACAGCCACCTCCTCAAAGGGCAGAAGACTCTCCTGAAAGGCAAAAAAGTACAGAACAGACTGAGGAGGGACTATAAGATCTGTCCCATTGTTTAGAAATTCCCAAAGCAAAGCTAGGCACTAAGGTAAATGGCTATTTAGTAGGATTCCATAGTTTAGGTGAGAAAGTGGACAGAAGAAAAAGCTTTTGATTGAAGAAATGTTTTAGACAGGTTTCATCAACTTGAATGATTTTGTAGGACTTCCAGTGCCATTCAGTTAAGTAACCCCAATTTCCTTCTGGATCAAACTCAGGATCCTTCTGGATCTACCCAATATGCAGCCGGCCAGCCAGGATTGATTCATCGACCCTCAATCAAAAGGCACTCAGTGTCAGGAGAGAATCAATTGGCAGGTGGACCTTGGAAAACCCACCATCAGTGACACTAACCCATCCTCGATTTAAAGGCAGAGATGTCTCTGTAGGGGAAGGGATTCTTTGTAGAATTTTATGAAATGGCTATGAAGGAGCAATCCTGTTCATCCTCAACACTTTCATGAAAGAGCTGGGAGAGATCAGCCAAGGATCTGTGTTGTGTGCCATCAATACCCAGAGACTCTGCCCCTCCTCAGATTGCAAGGAAACTGCTAGTAGTGTGAGCCATTGACTCCACAGTAAATAAGGAGATGGAGAACATTTTTTCAGGAAGGCATTTCTTAGCCTTTGCAAAGCTGGATGGTTTGGCCTCCAAATCCAGGCAAAAATCAGGGAATTAAAAGGTATTTTGCAAGCCAATAGGGCCTTGATTATGTGCTCTTTCAGAACAATTTTTAATTGGAGGCATTTCTATATGGCCATTGTCCTGGGATTTTAAAAATCTTTGTTCTTAATCACTTATTTTCTTATCAATGATTGTAAATGAAGCTTTTAAAATGGTAATATCCCAGTGTGAATATTTAAATACTTAGCAACAAAAATTTGGGTTTCAGTTGTGGTCATAAATCAAGGATTACGTGTACTATGTACATCAGCTGATTTCCCGAGGGAAAAGGAAAATACAAATCTAGTAAATGAATGTTCTTCTCTTACCTGAGTTGGAGATTCAATCACGGTTTCTGTTCCCCCAAAAGAAAGAGTCAACTTCCTTCTATTCTTCCCTGTGAGGAAGACAGAATTTCAGGAAGCATAATTAATGAAATGGGAGGAGGTATGCTATCGAAGAGAAAACACAAAAGATAAGAAAGTTGGGATTTATCAGAGGAGTGGAAGGACCTTATTATTACCTCTTGAGGTGTCCTGATTTGGATCTTCCTGCGAGATCCTCCTGAAAAACAGTTCTTGAGGGAGATTTGGTGGATGCCTCATTCTCTCAGGATCTCTGATGTCCATTGTAAAGGACTTGAGATAGTATGCAGGAGAAAAGAAATAATGGTCATCACACATCATGAAGTGGTTTTTTACGGCAAAGCACTCAGTATCAATCAATTAGGCTGGGAAGTAAGAAATAAATGGCTCTGCAAAACTTTTTTTCTAGAAAGGATAAGCAACTATACAAAGATTAGTGAAGCATCTCCACATAGTGTGAATGCCAGGGAACTCTGGTAAGGAGATATTAAGAATTTGAATATGTTGATCCAATGGCTAAGAATTTTGTGTATAATGTAATGCCCGAACAACTGGAAGATATTTGGATGAAAGGTTTAAAATTGCTATTAAATTATAATTTAAAAGATTTTTTTAATAAAATGATGTATCATTCTATTTAATGCGTGATAACTGGCCAAAGATGTATAAAGGAAATTCAAATACATGTTCAAAATGTAAATGTAAACAAGAATCTTTTTACCATTTTTGCTGGACTTGTGACAAAGCAAAGAAATACTGGTGTAAGATTTATATTTTACTGCAGAAGATTCTCAAAAGTGGGTATAAAAATAAAACTTTAATAGACAAAGAGATTGAAAAACAATCTAAAACTTTGGTGTTATATATGTTGAGAGCACTAAGAATGCGTTTTGCACAAAAACAGAAGGATACTTTAATTGCCATAATGGAGAAGTCGCTGGAAAAACTGATGGAACTAGCAGAGATGGCAAAATTAACTGCTTTAATTAAAGAAAAGAACACACCCAACCTTGTTTCTACTTGGAAATTGCTCCTGGATTTTTTTCTTGGGATAAAACAAAAATGAAACTTTGATTTCGTTGTTATAGAACGGCTAGTACATATTAAGGATGTAAAAGTAGAAGGCCGAGGCTGTAATGTTACCATTTTATTCAACTGCACTAAAAAGAGTCAGAAGTCAATCATTTTCCTTTTTTGCCCTTTCCCCTATACTTCTTCTTCTTCTCTTCCTCCCACTTCCTACTATTTTCATTTTTTTGTATTTTATATCTTGATAAGCTTAATAATATTTTAAAAAGGAAACAAAAATTTGAACATATTATTATATTCAACTCCTTCTGGACTCCAAGAGGAAGTCCTCTCACCTGCAACTCAGCCTGCTCCTTCTGCTCCTCCGCCTGGCTCAGGAGGAAGCCTTCCACCAAGGCCACCGCCTGGGAGCTGGTCTCTGCTCCACACTCCCGCACCCAGCTCTCCATCTGCAGGGGCAGAAGGGCCAGGAACTGCTCCAGAACAACCAGGTCCAGAATCTGCGCTTTTGTGTGCTTTTCTGGTCTCAACCATTGGCTACAAAAGTAATGGAGTCGGCTGCAAAGTCCTCGGGGACCCTCATCCTCCTGATACTGGATGCTCCTAAAGTTCCAGGACTGAACTTGTGAAACGATGGTTCCATCGTCCAGGATCTTCTGCCCAGATCTTGCCCAGATCTCCTCCCGATTCCAGACTGAACACTGGAAGGGCCTTTTCCAGTTCCCCCACTTGCTAAAGGAAGGCTTGCCATTCCTGTAACACAAATCCAAATGAGTTCAAGGAAACCAAATTCTTTTTCATTCATAACAATGTTCATTTAGCCATGGGAATCAGAACAAGCCATTAACCCTCTTTGCCAAAGAGATAACGTTGTCTCTAAAGAACATGAACAAATAACCTCCTTTTCCAATTCTCTGATAGAAAGATAAATTCAAACAACTTGAAAGTAGTGGATTGGATCATTCATCGATACTCATCCCCATAGAAGGAAGTATTTTTCTGACCTGATAAACTGATGACTTCAATAAGAAGATTCAGTGTATTTGGCATTTTGGATCATTTCTATTTTTTTTACTCACAAGGAAAGACTTGATTTTTAAAAATATAGATCTACATTTACCTATAAGCAGGGTTCACGCAGCGTACAAAAACTCAGAACAGGTTAACAAAGCAGGAAAATTCAGTTCACAAAAAATGTAATGCCATTCAGTTGACCCTGGCTTAGGACGCTCCATTTCTCTTCCTTCTTTCACACAGGCAGGCAGGTTCACATAATGTGTCCTAAGCAAAAAAGGTCAATCAGATCCAGGGGCTCAGTTCACATGAAACACAAAGGCTTAAATGCACAAAGTTTAACGTAATGATCTGGTTCACTATCCTCCTAAGACAAATTGAGCTGCAGAGGAGCCAAACCTAGTTTATTGTCATCCAACACAGAGTGAGAATTAGGCATAATCTTTTGTATCTCTTCTTTTCAAACCTTTTTTTATTTCCTCCTTGAGATTTGCCATGCAAACTCTCTCCCTATTCAGGAACTTTTCCCAGGAAATGGGGCATGAAGGACTATCCAGGTCCCCTCCTTTCCTTTCTGGCATCTGGATTTCTTCCTGAGGGCAACATGCTTGGTATAGACTAGCTCTGCTTTGTTCCTTGCCTGTTACAATCATGGAAAAGGGCAGCCAGGAGATATGGGATCTGAGGGTCTCCCACTCCTAAGGTTGAACCTGGATGAGGACTTGGCATATGCCACTTCCGTCTCTAGTGCAAGAACCCCCTCCCCCCCCCACATAAACCCTTTGTCGCCTCTGGCTCTCTTTCCTTCGAGACTTTCTTGCAGTCTTTTTAACCGCTTGCGAAGTTCAAAGAGTTAAAGAGGGAGAGTCCAGCATCCTAGAAAGGCAAGAGTTAGTTATGTCACTTCCTTCCCAACCGGCCACAGCGGCCCAACGCTGAAGTGCATAGAGTTCCTTTCTCTTTGCAGAGGGATTTTCTGTGAATGGAAAGTGCTCATGGAACAAGGAGAGACGGAGCATTTCCCATGTGGGGCCAGGAGGGGGCGCTCACGTTTCCCTTGATCAGGAAGCCTTCTCAACGTGCTTTAGGGCGGCAATGCTATACTTCAGTAGAGTGTTGTATTTCAAGCTTATGGCCATTCACTCACTCACTCACACTCTCACAGCCCTGGAAAATAGCCACACTTTCACCCACACACTGAGGCACAAATGGTTCTTTAAAATACAGTTACAACGTATATATTTGTTCTTTTTCACATGTACACACACTTCCACATTCATCATCCACACTTACCCAAGTCCTTCTCAACTAGGCTGGCTGGCACTAGCCAGAAGGACAGAAGCTGCCAGCTACCAACTCTAGATGAAGAACAATTCAAAAAGTGTGTGTACTTCAGGATTCTTTTTCCCCCAAAAAATTCCTTGCTTTGCTGATTCATCAGATAGACAGTTATTCTTGTTGATTTTCAAGCCTGGTAACTGTTGATGGGATTTGGAGAGAGCTTTCACATCAGCTCTTGTCCAATTTCTTTTGTCTGGATTGAGTGACATTTTTTACTTTCTTTCCTTAGTGACTTAGGTCCTTCTTATCTAAGACGGAACCTGGATGAGAACTTGGGATGCATCTCTTCCTTCTTCAGTTCCCTTTGCACTGGAAGAATCTGGCCACTTATCCTGGCCCTTTCTGGATCTCTTTCCTTCCCTAGCTGGAAACGAACCAGGAAATTCTTCTGACACTTTCCTTAGTGACTTAGTTCCTTCTTATCTATTGCTAAAATTGAACCTGGATGCGAACTTGGGATGCATCTCTTCCTTCTTCAGTTCAAGAACCCTCCCTTTGCACTGGAAGAATCTGCCCACTTATCCTCTGCCCTTTCTGGATCTCTTTCCTTCAAGAGTTCTGCGCAGCTCAAATGCTCAGAGCGTGAACATAGCATCCTAAAGAGGATCCTGAATTACATTACATTACATTACATTACATTACATTATAGTACAGTACAGTACAGTAAACAGAATAAGGGAAGGAGGGAATAAGGGAGTATAGAGGAATGATTGATGTCTTCCTTATGATATAATGGTTCCGTTGTCTGATTTTCATTGGCTAACAAAGTTTATAAAGCAATGCTACTAACTTTATAAGGTGTGGCACTTCCGGATGTAACTCTGCCAGGGTTCCAGATTGCTTGCCATCCAGCTGTTTTATTTGATCAATTAAAGCACTGTTTCGTCAAGAAGCCTCCGTTTGAGTTGCCTGATTAGACTTTTAATGGTATCTCATATTTAAGTAAGGGCCAGTGACCTTACAATAATAAAAGATGCAGAGGCTCATTATTAACAATCAACCTATAATAATTATAAATAATCCAAAGGGCCAAAAGGCAGCCAGAACAGAAAAGTAGTTTGTGCTGGGGCTGAGAAAGTAATATAGGGGCCCTCCTTTTGAAACTTGGAGTACATCAACCTATGCAACTGTTGCTGATATGCAGTCTGAGGTTGCCTCCTGTGATGGTTGTGCCCACTGGGGACAAAGGTCCTAACATGCTTAAATCTAGAAAAATCCAAGACGGATCTCGAATGCTGAAGCAATGGTCAGTCTGCAGAAAGTGAAGAGAATAAACGATCAAATGGAAAAAAATAATTATGTCTAGTATGGATGAATGATGGAGGTGAAAAGGAATGCAAGAGAGAAAGTGAATGTAAGGACCCACCCCACTTTGCATCTTAAGAAGACAGAACTCTTGGAATAATTCTTCCAACAGGAATCCTTTATTAAGAGAAAATGGTTGCAGGCATGCTAGACAGGACTTGGGGTTCAAGCTCTTCCATTCAAGGTTTTAAGGGGTTCCCCAGTAGTCCCACCCAATCAACCCCCCTTCCAGTGATAGTTTCAAGTATCACAATTCCGCCCCCTTTCTTCTTTCTTCCGTCTGGATGGGGACTTCAGATAACTACATGAAAGGCAACTACCCTCCTTTGGTATGCTAACGCTTCGAGGTTACAATAAACACACATTCAGCATTCCGCTCTTTGAAGTGTAAAGAAGGAAGTGAGGGCCATAAAACCCCTTTGTTCTCCCCCTTCACTCCCTCTTATGGCAGAATCCAGAGAAGGCAGAATTGGGAGTTTCTATATTTGATAATTTAAAGATGAAATATAATTGGATTCTGACATCCGGCCCCTCTTAACAATAAAAGAGATCCACCTGAAAGAAAACACAAGTATAAAATTTAGTCAGGCTTGTTAGGATACTCTGTGTGAAACTTCTTCAATAGCTTCGGGGCTCTGACATGACGTTTATGGACCCACTCATTTTGTTAGGGAGGTAGGTGTTTCCAGGCAACTAGGTACTGAGTTGCCCCATGATATCTCCTAGAATCAAGGGCATTCCATACCTGGGGTCACCACAAACGTTAAGTCCTCTTCATGGTTGCCCAGGGAGAGGTGTATTGGCAGAGTGGCTAGGGTAGCTGGCACCCCCCCCCCCTGCTATGGATCCATCTAGCTGGCCAAATGAGATTGGTTGTTCCAGTCTCCTGGATGGGATGCCCAGATTCCCCACTAGTGTTGGGCTAATGAGGCAGTGGGTGCAGCCAGAGTCTATTAAGGCTTTCACCTTCACAGCTTCGGGCATGGGGGGGATTAATATAGTCACTGTTTTGAAGATGGGTGTGATGCGTCCACTTACCAGGGGTTCGCCTTCCGAGCTGTCATCTGAGGCATCCACCATCCCTGTGGTGTAGGCTGGAGTTCTTTCCCCTTGGTGAGCAGAGGTGGGGGTTTCTGCAATTTCCATCATTTTCATGGCTGTTTCTTTTGGCTTAGCTGAATACCCTCTGGGTTTGTTGATTGGGGATCTGTCTGGGTTGTGCTGGGGGGCCTTTGAGCGGCATTCTACAGCTCGATGCCCTTCTCTTCCGCACTTGAAACACCCCATTTGCTTCTTGGCTGTATCTGATGATTTCACCGGTTGGTGTGTCAGCTCAGGCGGGGGGCGGCTCCATTGTTTTCTTCGGCGGTGCCTCTTCAATATGTCGATCTCTGCTTCCTCTGCCAAGACGTACCATTCCTCAAGTCGATGTGGGTCCCCTCGGGGCAGGCAAGCATCATATAGATCATAGTTTAGTCCGTCTTTGAAATGGCCAAGGAGGATGTCTTCTGGCCAATTCAGTTTGCTGGCAATGGCCCGGAATTCTTGTGTATACTCGGCCACTGGGCGTTTGCCTTGCCTCATCGTTGTTATTCTTTCACGGGCTTTGCGATCAGCCAGGGGGTCTTCAAATCGTCTTCTCAAAGAGGACATGAAACGGTTGAAGTTACTGAGTTCTGGGGCATTGGAGTCATGCAAGTTCACTACCCAATCCGCAGCTGGTCCATCCAGGGCAGATTGCACGATCCGGATGCGGGCTTTGTCGCTGGGAATGTCCTGCCCATATTCCTCCATGTAGCTGAGTACTTGGGTTAGGAAAAACCCCAAGCGTGTTGGCTCCCCTTTGAATTTCACCTCCAACGGTGGACGTCTTGGAATGGATCGGTGCCTCCGTTGTGGGTGGTAGTGTCTTCCGTCCAGATTGCCATCTGTGGTCCGGTAGGGGGTGGGGGCTCCTGGATCAGTAGATGTCCCTGGGGTTGCAGGTTCCACGTCCCCCTCGGTGTCTCTCCCTTTGTGGCTCCAGGACCTGGGGCGGCCGTAGGGCTCAGTATTCTCCTCTCCTAGGGAGCTGAGAGTTCTCTTCATCAGGTCAATAGCTTTCTCTAGGATCCAGTCTGAGTACGGTACCCAGCTTCCTCCCTCTTCACTTGCGTGCAGGGATTTCTCCATCTCCTGCTTCCATTCTGGTTGCTTGGTCCCCCGTCTCAGGGTCACCTTTCTTGATTCCTTTCTCCACTCACTTTTCTTTCCAACGTTCATCGACCAGCGAGGCTTGTGGTCCTGTGTCTCCACCACTTCTTCTCCCGAGGAATCTGACCTCTCAGATCCCAACATCTGGCAAGGTTCCAACTGGGTCAGCGGCTCTCTTTCCAGGGAGTTTTCCCCCTCTTTCTCCAGTGTCTGATATGGTAAATTTTTTTGCAAAATCCCCCGGCAAGGGTCTCCCTTCCAGGTGGATTAATTTTGCAAAAAATTTACCATGGGAGTTTCTATATTTGATAATTTAAAGATGAAATATAATTGGATTCTGACAGTGAACAAGAGAAATGAGATTGCAAGATATCCATGGGAGGACTGTTATTTAACTAAACAAGAACCAAACAAATTTAACAGTTGAAGGTTGCAATTATATTGAGAACGTTTCTTGGATTCCAACCAATTTTAAACCCTGTTCTGCAGCTTGTTATTCTTGCCTAAAAAAAAAAATATTTTTTGTCCTGCTGTGTAGTTTTGTCTCATCCAGTTTCCTTTGCCTACATCTCTGAAGGCCATCACTTCTGATGGATTTCCTCATTTTTGTGCAACCTAACTTCTATTAAAAACCATATTGCAATTAGCTAAAAATTGATGAGCAGGACCACCCAGTGAGTCTAGAAGGTAGAACTCTAAATTCTGAATCACGCATCGGTACATCAAACCCAAAGATGAAATTTCCCTGGAATCATGAGCCCTATAAACACAAAACTACCCCATCTTACAGAGATTCATCCTTCTGTTGCTTCCCATCTAATCTCTAGGTCAGCAATTCCACCACATCACCAGTTTTCCCTAGAGACGTGTATATTAACTGGGTATAGGAGTCCCTGTGGATTTTACTCTGGTAGGGGGGCGGTGCTCATCAGCGTTTCAAGCCCCTCGAGCCAGTACTGTCCAAAGACATTTCTGCGGTCAAGTGGCCAACATGGTGTCACAGAGCACTGTTGCGTTCTCACTGAAGTGGTATTATTTATCTACTGGCATTTGCATGCTTTCAAACTGCTATGTTGGCAGGAGCTGATGCAAGGACAGGAGCTCATCCCATCACAGGGCACCTGGGTCTTGAATCTGGGCTGACAGTTTTCCACCTGACAAGCCTAGCGTCTTAACCACTGAGCCGCCATCCTGCCCTATAACTAGGTATAATAATATGTAAGTCAGAGCTGAAGAAACTTCTTGGAAGAGAAGCAAAACGTCTTCAAAAAAAAACAAGAAAGTCCAGCTGCTTCTTGAAAAAGCACCTTTGGGACATCCATGGAGCACACACAGAATAAATATCTCTCTGGACAGATATATCCATAATGATCCATAAGTGCAACTACTGCAATGTCTACATTGCAACCTGGCCAGAAAGTGATTGCCGAGGACCTCAATAGTTTGCTTCCCTGAAGGATCTCTGCAATTGGAGGGTACCAGCCCTTTCAGGCAAGCAAGGCCAAGAATTGGGCACCACAAAGCCTATTGGGGCTCTAGTCTAGGGTATTGTTGTGAGGTATAATAACAGAAAGTTGAAAGCCTGTCAAGAGTTTCCCACTTATCTCTTTTATGGGATGCAGAACCAAGAGAGCATTATTGTGAGCCTCTTGAGTACAAAGAACACTAATTTCCATTTTCTGTCTGTTCCTTTGATCTCTCTGTTACCTTTATACAGGGGTGTGGTTTCTACAGAATCGTTCTTAAAAATAGATGTTTGGAGAGGAGTCTTATATTATCAAAAGCACATGGATTGACAAGGCTTCTTATCAGGATGGACATAACAGCCTCCTTCCTCCTGGCTTCTCATGGGAAATGTACCTTTTCTCCCCTCTATGTATGAGCACCTGCCCTGCACGCAGAATCCACCAGAGGCTATTCCGCACAGAGAAGGCAACACAATGGCCTTCATCATTGAGCCACTGGAGGGCAAATGCCACAAAGTGCTTTCCAGAGGGGAGATTGAAAGGCATTGACATCAGAGGGTCTTGCCTCTTTAGGATGCTGTATTCACTCTCTGAGCATTTGAGCTGCGCAGAACTCTTGAAGGAAAGAGATCCAGAAAGGGCCAGGATAAGTGGGCAGATTCTTCCAGTGCAAAAGGAGGGCTCTTGAACTGAAGAAGGATGAGATGCATCCCAAGTTCTCATCCAGGTTCCGTCTCAGCAATAGATAAGAAGGAATTAAGTCACTAAGGAAAGAAAGTAAAAAATGTCACACACTTTTTGAATTGTTCTTCATCTAGAGTTGGCAGTTGGCAGCTTCTGTCCCCCTGGCTACTGCCAGCCAGCCTAGTTGAGAAGGACTTGGGTAAGTGTGAATGATGAGTGTGGAAGTGTGTGTACATGTGAAAAAGAACAAATATATACGTTGTAACCAGTAAACGTCTGTTATTTTAAATTCACTGAGTCTCCCTGTATTTGAAAGAACCATTTGTGCCTCAGTGCGTGGGTGAAAGTGTGGCTATTTTCCAGGGCTGTGAGAGTGTGAGTGAATGGCCATAAGCTTGAAATACAACACTCTATGGGAGAGGACAGGAAGACCTGGAGGAACATTGTCCATGGGGTCGCGATGGGTCGGACACGACTTCGCAATTAACAACAACTGAAGTATAACATTGCCACCCTAAAGCACGTTGAGAAGGCTTCCTGATCAAGGGAAATGTGAGCGCCCCCTCCTGGCCCCACATGTGAAATGCTCCGTCTCTCCTTGTTCCATGAGCACTTTCCATTCACAGAAAATCCCTCTGCAAAGAGAAAGGAACACCATGCACTTCTGCGTTGGGCCGCTGTGGCCGGTTGAGAAGGAAGTGACATAACTAAGTCTTGCCTTTCTAGGATGCTGGACTCTCCCTCTTTAACCCTTTGAACTTCGCAAGAAAGTCTTGAAGGGAAGAGCCACAGGTGACAAAGGGCTTGTTTGTGTGTGTGTGTGTGTGTGTGTGTGTGTGTGTGTGTGTGTGTGTGTGTGTGTGTGTGTATGGGGGAGGGGGTTTCTTCCCATACAAGGCGAGGCAGAGAGTTCCTGCACTAGAGAAGGACGTGCCAAGTCCTCATCCAGGTTCAATCTTAGGAGTGGGAGACCCCAAGATACCATATTTCCCTGCTGCCCTTTTCCATGATTGTAACAGGCAGGGAACAAAGCAGAGCTAGTCTAGACCACGCATGTTGCCCTCAGGAAGAAATCCAGATGCCAGAAAGGAAAGGAGGGGACCTGGATAGTCCTTCACGCCCCATTTCCTGGGAAAAGCTCCTGGGTAGGGGGAGAGCTTGCCTGGCAAATCTCAAGGAAGAAATAAGAAAAGGTTTGAAAAGAAGAGAACAAAAGATTATGCCTAATTCTCACTCTGTGTTGGATGACAATAAACTAGGTTTGTCTCCTCTGCAGCTCAATTTGTCTTAGGAGGATAATGAACCAGATCATTACGTTAAGGTTTGTGCATTTAAGCCTTTGTGTTTCATATGAACTGAGCCCCTAGATCTGATAGACTTTTTTGTGCTTAGGATACATTGTGTGAACCTGCCTGCCTGTGTGAAAGAAGAAAGAACTGGAGCATCACATTTTTTGTGAACTGAATTTTCACGCTTTGTTAACCTGTTCTGAGTTTTTGTATGCTGCGTGAACCCTGCTTAGAGGTAAATGTAGATCTATATTTTTAAAAATCAAGTCTTTCCTTGTGAGTAAAAAAAATAGAAATGATCCAAAATGCCAAATACACTGAATCTTCTTATTGAAGTCATCAGTTTACCAGGCCAAAAAAATACTTCCTTCTATGGGGATGAGTGTCGATGAATGATCCAATCCACTACTTTCTAGTTGTTTGAATTTATCTTCCTATGAGAGAATTGCAAAAGGAGGTCATTTGTTCATGTTCTTTAGAGACAACGTTATCTCTTTGGCAAAGAGGGTTAATGGCTTGTTCTGATTCCCATGGCTAAATGAACATTGTTATGAATGAAAAAGAATTTGGTTTCCTTGAACTCATTTGGATTTGTGTTACAGGACGGAGAAAGAATGGCAAGCCTTCCTTTAGCAAGTGGGGGAACTGGAAAAGGCCCTTCCAGTGTTCAGTCTGGAATCGGGAAAGAGACCTGGGCAAGATCTGGGCAGAAGATCCTGGACGATGGAACCATTGTTTCACAAGTTCAGTCCTGGAACTTTAGGAGCATCCAGTATCAGGAGGATGAGAGTCCCCGAGGACTTTGCAGCCGACTCCACTACTTTTGTAGTCAATGGTTGAGGCCAGAAAAGCACACAAAAGCGCAGATGCTGGACCTGGTTGTTCTGGAGCAGTTCCTGGCCCTTCTGCCCCTGCAGATGGAGAGCTGGGTGCGGGAGTGTGGAGCAGAGACCAGCTCCCAGGCGGTGGCCCTGGTGGAAGGCTTCCTCCTGAGCCAGGCGGAGGAGCAGAAGGAGCAGGCTGAGTTGCAGGTGAGAGGACTTCCTCTTGGAGTCCAGAAGGAATTGAATATAATAATATGTTCAAATTTTTGTTTCCTTTTAAAAATATTATTAAGCTTATCAAGATATAAAATACAAAAAATTTGAAAATAGTAGGAAGTGGGGGGAAGGGAAAAGAAAGAAGGATAGGGGAAAGGGCAAAAAAGGAAAATGATTGACTTCTGACTCTTTTTAGTGCAGTCGAATAAAATGGTAACATTACAGCCTCGGCCTTCTACTTTTAGATCCTTAATATGTACTAGAACTAGCCAATCTATAACAAGAAACTCTAAATTTCATTTTTTTTTTATCCCAAGAAAAAAAATCCAGAAGTGATTTACAAGTAAAAACAAGGTTGGATGTGTTCTTTTCTTTAATTAAGGCACTTTATTTTGCTGTCTCGGCTAGTTCCATCAGCTTTTCCAGCAACTTCTCCATTATGGCAATTAAAATATCCTACCGTTTTTGTGTAAAAAGCATTCTTAATGCTCTCAACAAATATAACACCAAAGTTTGAGATTGTTTTTCAATCTCTTTCTCTATTACAGTCTCTGGTTTTATTTTTATACCCACTTTTGAGAATCTTCTGCAGTAAACTATAAATCTTACATCAGTATTTCTTTGCTTTGTCACAAGTCCAGGAAAGATGGTAAAAAGATTCTTGTTTACATTAACATTTTGAACATGTATTTGAATTTTCTTTATACCTCTTTGGCCGGTTATCATGCATTAAATAGAATGAGACATCATTTTATAAAAAATTCTTTTAAATTATACTTTAATAGGAATTTTAAAGCTTTCATCCAAATATCTTCCTGTTGTTCAGGCATTATATTATACACAAAATTATTTGCCATTGGATCAACATATTCAAATTCTTAATAGCTCCTTACCAGAGTTCCCTGGCTTTCATACTATGTGGAGATGCTTCACTAATCTTTGTATAGTTGCTTATCCTTTCTAGAAGAAAGGTTTTGCAGAGCCATTTCTTTCTTACTTCCCAGCCTAATTGATCAACACTGAGTGCTTTGCAGTGAGAAACCACTTCATGATGTGTGATGACCATTATTTCTTTTCTCCTGCATACTATCTCAAGTCGTTTACAATGGACGTCAGAGATCCTGAGAGAATGAGGCATCCACCAAATCTCCCTCAAGAACTGTTTTTCAGGAGGATCTCTCAGGAAGATCCAAATCAGGACACCTCAAGAGGTAATAATAAGATCCTTCCACTCCTCTGATAAATCCTAACTTTCTTATTTTTTGTGTTTTTTATACCATACCCCCTCCCATTTCATTAATTATGCTTTTTGAAATTCTGTCTTCCTCACAGGGAAAAATAGAAGGAAATTGAAGCTTTGTTTTGGGGGAGCGGAAACGGTGATTGAACCTCCAACTCAGGTAAGAGAAGAACATTCATTTACTAGATTTGTATTTCCTTTTCCCTCGGGAAATCAACTGATGTACACAGTACAGGTAGTCCTTGATTTATGACCACAATTGAAACCCAAATTTTTGTTGCTAAGCAACATATTTGTTAAGTGAACTTTGCCCCATTTTACAACCTTTCTTGCCACATGTGTTAAGTCAAAGACTGCAGTTGTTAAGTTTGTAATATGGTTGTTAAGTGAATCTGGCTTCCCTAATGACTTTGCTCTGAAAACTTCACAAAAAGTGATCACATGACTCAGGGACCCTTTAACCGTCATAAATATGAGTCAGTTGCCAAGCATCCGAATTTTTAATCGTGTGGCCATGGGGATGCTGCAACAGTCGTAGGTGTGAAAACTGGGCATAAGGTATTTTTTTCGGTGCCTTTGTAACTTTGAACGGTCATTAAAAACTGTTGTAAGTTGAGGACTATCTCTATTGCCTTTTTCCATTGTCTCCTCTGTTTTGACTGGGGATTTTTTTAGGATTTTTTTTTTAAGACTACTACTTTAAAAACAAAACTCTTTCCCCTAATTATTCTCCCAACTTTTCAGTAAGTAATGTTTTACAGATATTTCCACAGCTCCCATTCTTTCTGTAATTCTTTGAGTTTCATTTGTGTAAGGATCCTCAAAAGTATTTAAATATTCACACCGGGATATTACCATTTTTAAAAGCTTTATTTACAATCATTGATAAGAAAATAAGTGATTAGGAACAAAGATTTTTAAAATCCCAGGACAGTGGCCATATAGAAATGCCTCCAAATAAAAATTGTTCTGAAAGAGCACATAATCAAGGCCCTGTTGGCTTGCAAAATACCTTTTAATCCCCTCATTTGTGCCTGGATTTGGAGGCCAAACCATCCAGCTTTGCAAAGGCTAAGAAATGCCTTCCTCAAAAAATGTTCTCCATCTCCTTATTTACTGTGGAGTCAATGGCTCAGACTACTAGCAGTTTCCTTGCAATCTGAGGAGGGGCAGAGTCTCTGGATATTGATGGCACACAACACAGATCCCTGGCTGATCTCTCCCAGCTCTTTCATGAAGGTGTTGAGAATGAACAGGATTGCTCCTTCTTAGCCATTTCATAACATTCTACAAAGAATCCCTTCCCCTACAGAGACATCTCTGCCTTTAAACCCAGGACGGGTTAGTGTCACTGATGGTGGGTTTTCCAAGGCCCACCTGCCGATTCTCTCCTGACACTGAGTGCCTTTTGATTGAGGATGGATGAATCGATCCTGGCTAGCCGGCTGCATATTGGATAGATCCAGAAGGATCCTGAGTTTGATCCAGAAGGAAATTGGGGTTACTTAACTGAATGGCACTGGAAATCCTACAAAATCATTCAAGTTGATGAAACCTGTCTAAAATATTTCTTCAATCAAAAGCTTTTTCTTCTGTCCACTTTCTCACCTAAACTATGGAATCCTACTAAACAGCCATTTACCTTAGTGCCTAGCTTTGCTTTGGGAATTTCTAAACAATGGGACAGATCCTATAGTCCCTCCTCAGTCTGTTCTGTACTTTTTTGCCTTTCAGGAGAGTCTTCTGCCCTTTGAGGAGGTGGCTGTGTATTTCTCAGAAGAGGAGTGGTCTCTGCTGGATCCTCGCCAAAAAGCGCTGCATTGGGAAGTCATGCTGGACAATTGTAGGAACGTGGCCTCTCTTGGTAAGGGTTTCCTATTCTGCAGTCAGACAGTTCAGGAAGAGACTTTCTAGTTAGATGCCACGGATTACTTCTTATGAAATCATCTCCAAATAGATATCCTCTCCTCAGAGGGAGAAGGAAAAGTCATGCTGTTCTACTGCTCCTAGGAAGGAAATAGGCCAATGGCATTCTGCTTAGATATATTCTATCCCATTTGTTTTTCTATTTCTGTTTAAACACATTAGTGACAATTCCTTAGTTTGCCGTAATGCCAAATTCCATCACACAGTTTTTAACTTTTTGGCCCAAATGCTTCCATATTAATTCTATCAAGAATTGCCTTTCACGTTTTTTGACTTAATGCCTTTTACAAGTTTTTATGCCTCATGAATAGTGATATTATTATTTCTATACCAAACCATTATAATTATACAAATATACAATATATTGGAATCTGGCAAAATATCTGAAGGCAATTACAGGTAGTCCTCGAGTTACGAATATAATGGAGCCTGCCCATTTCATTCGTAACTCAAAAATTCATGGGAATAAACCTTGTACCTCAAAGATCACTCCCTGCTTTCACCCACATATTTGCTAATTGAATGCATGGACAAATAGGCGGTTCATTATTTACGCATGAGGTATCTCAGGGTGGGGAAGGCCATAGAGGGCCTAGTGATGGAACAGGCCCCCAAGGCCTCCACGATTCACAAAGATACCTCATGCTTTTCCCTCCATTTCTGCCACACCAGATTGACTTACCTTGAAAAGATCTATCTCCTCTCTGCCGGGTTCCTGCTTTTCAGGGAGAGGAGAGTCAATGGAAGTTCCTGCGTGCTGTAATATCGCACGCGTTCAGGCACCCATCTTTTACAGAGAATGGGTGCCTGAACTCTCACGGTGCTTATGGTGCTTATCTCCTGCTCTCCCCCCCCCCCAACACTGGAGCCACATGGCCACCACCCCTGGCTTCTGTTCTGCCGGTGGAGGCCTGTAGATAGGCTTCTGAAGGCCCATGGAAGCATCCCCTGGCCTCCTTTCTGGGCAGCAGCGGCCTGGAAAAGGCCTCCGATGCCTGGATTGGGCCTCCAGAGGCAATCAGAAGCCTCCCACAGCTTCCATTTCATTCTCTGTATCAGAAAAAGAGGCATAAACTACCATGAGATCATTTGAAATCAGTAGCGTGAGATCTCGCATCACTGATCTCACATGACCTTGCATTACTTTAGGCTTCCATTCTCTGCGAATGCACAAAAGGCCTAGAACAGCCAAGAAAGCAAAGGTGAGTACCCACAGGCATAGGGTCTAGGGAGACTGGGGTGGAGGAGCGGGAGGAAATAGCTAGGGTGAATGTTGCAGAGCTACTGTAGTCGTTCATAAGGGTGAATGACTGTCGTAGTGTGGAAACATGCAATTTCAGGAGTTTTTCGTAAACACTACTGGGTGATTATCGAGTAAATTCAAACATTCGCTATGGGAAAGTTTGTAACTCAGGGATTATCTGTAATATGACTTCTGACAGGGTGATCTTTTTCCCTAACCTTTCTATCACTTTTATTTCTCTTTTCCTTTGAAGGTGATAATGAAAATGATAATAAAGTTGCTGGAGAATTAATCAAAGTGTTCAAACAAAGAGACGTAATGGAGAAGCCTGCAATTCAAACAGGATTCCAAAGGCAGGAAAGAAACTCTTCAAATAATTGGAATAAGGAAAGCTCATCTTCCATTGATGCTCAGATGCAGGACTTTATAGATCAGCAAGGAAAAATAAAGAAAAAATACATTGGGAAACGTGTAAGATTATTCAAAGACACCATAGATGTAAATGAGCACTATCTATCCCAAGTCAAAGGAAAAGATTATACATCCAAACACAAAGAAAAAATTTATAATGGGACTTTTACACTTTCTCAAGAAAATGGGTCTCTTATGTCACAGAAAAGTTTTCACATGGGAGAGAAGCCAAATAAATGCACTGAGGATGGAAACAAGACTGTTTATAAAAGGATAAGCACAAGGAAGAAGCTATATAAGTGCAAGGAGTGTGGAAAGGGCTTCAGCAAACCAAGTCATCTTACATCCCATCAAAGGAGCCACATAGGAGAGAAGCCATATAAATGCATGGAGTGTGTAAAGGATTTCAGAACAAGCTGGGAACTTACATCTCATCAAAGGATCCACACAGGGGAGAAGCCATATAAATGCATGGAGTGTGGAAAGGGGTTTAGAACAAGCAGTGAATGTACATCCCATCAAAGGATCCACACAGGGGAGAAGCCCTATAAATGCATGGAGTGTGGAAAGGGCTTCAGAAAAAGCAGTAATCTTATATCCCATCAAAATATCCACACAGGGGAGAAGCCCTATAAATGCATGGAGTGTGGAAAGGGATTCACCCAACATGGTAGTCTAGTATCCCATGAAAGAATCCACACAGGAGAGAAGCCCTACAAATGCATGGAGTGTGGACAGGGCTTCAAGAAACACAGTCATCTTACATCCCATCAATGGATTCATAAAGGAGAGAAGCCGTATAAATGCATGGAGTGTGGAAAGAGCTTCACCCAACACTGTCATCTTAGTTCCCATAAAAGACTCCACACAGGGGAAAAGCCCTATAAATGCATGGATTGTGGAAAGGGCTTCACCCGACATAATGTTCTTGTTTCCCATAAAAGACTCCACACAGGGGAGAAGCCATATAAATGCACGGAGTGTGGAAAGGTCTTCAGAACAAACAGTCATCTTACAGTCCATCAAAGGATCCACACAGGGGAGAAGCCATATAAATGCATGGAGTGTGGAAAGGGCTTCAGGAACCAGAGTCATCTTACATGCCATCAAAGGATCCACACAGGGGAGAAGCCCTATAAATGCATGGAGTGTGGAAAGGACTTCACCCGACATAATGTTCTTATTTCCCATCAAAGAATCCACACAGGAGAGAAGCCATATGAATGCATGGAATGTGGAAAGGGCTTCAGTCAACACAGTAAACTTACATCCCATCAAGGAATCCACACAGGGGAGAAGCCCTATAAATGCATGGAGTGTGGAAAGGGCTTCAGGACAGGCAGTGAACTTACATCCCATCAAAGGATACACACAGGGGAGAAGCCCTATAAATGCATGGAGTGTGAAAAGAGCTTCAGGACAAGCAGTGACCGTACAACCCATCAAAGGATACACACAGGAGAGAAGCCCTATAAATGCATGGATTGTGGAAAGGGTTTTACTCAACATGGTCAACTTATTTCCCATAAAAGAATCCACCATATAAATGAATGAAGTGTGGAAAGGGCTTCGGCCGACACCATACTCTTACTTCCCATAACATGATTCATAGATGCGAGAAGTCAGTCCCCAAAACAAAGACAAATTTGGGTGAGAATGAATGCTAATTATTAATTTAGTGGTCTCTGGATTTCCAATTTACCCAGACTGAACTCTGAAAAGAAGGGTTTTTATGTTTCATACTCCTTTCAGGCCTAGAGAGATGAATTTAGTAATAAAACCATGTGCATGTACCAATATAGTTATGATCTGTATGTTTGAAGGTATCTGTTTATAGCTTCATTTTTTTATTATTTAGAAATGAGCTTCCTGCTCCCCAACTGTCATCATTCTCCCACTTGGTCATAGTTCTCAGAGGGATGTGAAGACATTTAACAGGTGCTGCTTCCCCAAGCACAAATGAAAAAAAAAATCTAATGTTCATCCTTCGTGCAGAACTGGAATACTCCAAAAGTAATCAAATGTGCATCCTCCGTGTAGAACTGAAACCTGAGTCAACTGGTGTCTATGCAGAAACGGAACATTATTCAGTCAAAGGTTTCATGATATAAGGGACTTGTCACATGTACATCTATGTTTGGTGTCTATGAAGAGCTGAAAGGATGCAGAATTCTTCTCTCACAAAAGGAGCCAGAATGAACAGAAGCCCCCCAAGTGCTCGTGCAATTTTTTTCAAGCATATTATGGCCATATTTTGCTCTTCTATAGTGTGATGAGGGCTAAAAAGAAGTCTACATTTGATTTAAATAAAATTAAATATCAGTGGTGTGGTTATGTTCTTGTTATATATTATTCCCTTAGAATATAGTTGCTTTAAAAATACATTAATACACTAAAAATTTTGGAAGGATTTGGAGGGGGCATATATTAGGATTTGAGAAGCTCATGTTGGTTTATTCAACTTACTCAGTTACAGTACTTGTCAGTAATAGTTCTGGGTCAAGCTGGACAATAAAGAGACTGAAAAGAGCAGAGAAATTAACTCAATTCTTTCTAACCCCTTTTTCTCTCTCCATCTCCATTCTTTCATTCATTAACTAAATCTCTTTTTTTTTCTTTGCATTGTCGCCTCCATATCCAGAGGAATCTCTTCAAACTACTGGAACCTTCAGGTCTTGTGGTTGGAGGAGAATTTGTACTTATGTTTTTCTCCATTTATGATCTGTGGATTGATGGTTTCCAGTATCATTGCTAGGTTCTTTCTTACCTCTGAAAGGCATTTTTGGGTCATAGAGATAAGCCAGAAGGGATAAGGCCTGTTATAACCCTGAACTTTATTTCAGGAGCTGCTAATATGTCACCATCTTGTCTCCTCTCTCCAAACTCATCCTTCCTGAGATGTATTCCCAACACAAATGAGTGGTGATTTATTTTTTTTTTGCCTCATGGTACAATATTCATATTTACTTTTCACTATTTTCCTTACCTGATTTTATACTTTCATCTTTTCTCTAAGCACATATGAGATGCGACTCTCCCGTAAAAGTATTAACTGGCTTAAACGATAGAAAACCCAAGAAGGGTCTCCAGTTCTGAGGCAATGGTCAGTCTGCAGAAAGGGAGGAGAATAAATGATCAATTAGAAAAAAATGGATTTATGCCTAGGAGGGATGAATAAAGAAGATGAAAGGGAAGGCAAGAGAGAAAGTGGATAAGAGAAACGAGATTACATGATAGTCCATGGGAGGATTGCAATTTAATTAAATAATAACCAAATTAATAGAATAGTTGAAGATTGCAGTTATACTGAGAAGCTTATTCGGCTTCCAACGAAGGTTTAAAAACTTTTCTGCATCTTGCCTATTTTTTTATTTTTTTTTTTTGTCCTGCTATGTTGCTTTATGTTTCTCCCAGGTTTGTTTCACCTACATCTCCGAAGACAGAAGAGCAGTGGTGGGATTCAGCCAGTTCGCACCACTTCGGCAGAACCAGTAGCTAATTTTTTGTTGCCCAGGCCCAGAATGGACTTCCGGAAGTGGCATCCACACAGAGAACCAGTTGTTCACATATTTGAATCCCAGGACTGCAAAGGAGTCACTTCAAATAGAGTAACAAGAGTTGAAAGGGACCTTGGAAGTCTTTTACTCCAACTCTCTGCTCAGGCAGGAAACCCTGGGCCTGGCCTAGACCATTTCAAATGATTGTCCAATCTCTTAAAAACTTCTAGTGCTGGAGCATTTACAACTTCTGGAGTTAAGTTGTTCCATTGTTCTGTCAGGAAATTTCTTCTTAATTCTAGGTTGCTTCTCTCCTTGAACAGTTTCCACCCATTGCTTCTTGTCCTGCCTTCATATGCTTTGAAGAATAGCTTGACTCCCTCTTCTTTGTGGCAATCCCTGGGATATTGGAACACTGCTATCATGTCACCCCTACTCATTCTTTTTATGAAACCAGACATACCCGGTTCCAGCATCTGTTCTTTATATGTTTTAGCCTCCAGTCCCCTGATCATCATTGTTGCTCTTCTCTGCACTCTGCAGACTTCTGGGAAATTTCCTCTTCACCTTTGTGCAATCAAACATTTATTACGAGCCATGTTCCAATTAGCTAAAAAGTGGGCAGGACAACCCAGTGAGTGTAGGAGAAATCCTAAATTTTGAATCATGCATACATTGCTCTGAAAGATGAAATATTCCTGGAATCATAAGGTTTATAAACTCAAAACTTGCAGAGATTCACTCGTTCTCCAGCATGATAGATGGAGAATCCACGAACGGGTTAATTCTGTCTTCCTGCCCAATTAGACTAAATCTGTCAAACTTGCCACGCCTCTCCTGGTCCAGGAGACCTCCTAATCATGACTTAGTCTGTGCCCAGAAAAGACATGATAATTTTGGCTCCCAGTTTGTCCAGACTGATTCTAATTGAGCAGGTTGTATGGTTCCTTACTTTATATTTGGTGGGAAACAATCCATTCATGAATTCCCCATTCCCTCTCTGCGCTGCGATCAGCGCAGTGCCTAACTGCTCTGCAGTTTTGTTCCTCTCCTCTTGAACTGCAGGCTCCAAGGAGGCCGCCTAACTAGCATCCAGTATGCGTGGTCTTAAAACAGCCAGGCATGACGCGTTATAGCCTTCCAGTCCCATGAGCGTCCCTGCGCCGTTTGGCTGTGCTTTGGGCCGCACTGTCGGCTCTTGACTCCCTGCCGCTTCCTTGCACTCAACAGCTGTTCGGTGGCAGGAAATGGAGCCGCTCAGCTGTCCGTCGGGATGACCACAGAGCCGACACCCACATTGCCACGCGTTGTCCGTCCACAGGCCAGGTAGACCGAGAAGGGTCGCTGGTCTCCTCCACCGTCCCACACGCTGTTCTCAACCTCTCCCCCTGCCCGTTAATGTCGAGCACACAGGGGCTTGACACCTATGTTAAAAGAGAGCGCAACTGGACAGTAATCTTTAAGCATGTGATTTTAGGTTTTTTGGCGGAAACTGGTACAATGATTGCAGTCTTAAAACAACAGAACCACAGCCATAAAGATTGTATGATTAAATGGGCTCAGAATATACAGGAACCGATCTCATTGGACTTATGGGAGACAATTTGGACTAGAAATGTTAAATTTACACAAGCTCAAAGTTTGAGAGAAAATTTTTATAAAATGTTTTATAGATGGCATTTAGATCCTAAAAAAAATCTTGTATGTATCCTAATATACAGCCCAAATGTTGGAGATGTGGTAATAATGATGCAACATATTTTCATATTTGGTGGAATTGCAAAAAAGTAAAGGCTTTTTGGATTATGATTTGGTGGAACATTCAAAAGATTTTTAGAAGGAAGATAAAGTTTACTCCTCAACTATTTTTACTGGGTATTTTCGTTGATTTAAATGAAAAAGAAACTATCTTGATGTTGAATTTAGTAACTGCAGCAAGGTTATTAGTAGGTTTATACTGGAAGAAAGATTCTTTGCCTACTTTAGAAGAATGGATATTTAAAGTATCTAGTTTTGCAGAAATGGCAAAAATTTCTGCTTATTTAAAGGATCATACACAAGAAAGATATATCATTGTATAGAGAAGATGGATAGATTATATTCAGAAAAAGTATGGAATTAAAAAGTTTCATTTATTTTATGAATGAATATTATAACAAATATTATAGAGAATTGTCTTATAGGTTATGGAGTTAAAGGTTAATTATGATATTTTCTTTTTTCTTTTCTTTTCTTTTTTATTATTATAAATTTTGTTATTATTAACCCTGTATTCTGCTCTGGGAAGTGAAGGGAGGGGGGTTGGGGGTGGGAGGGAGGGTAAGAGGGGGGGTAAATGTAGTATAGATAATGGTTGTTTATAGGAGTGCGGCCGGGGCATTCCCCTTATGCTGCGTTCATGGGTTTGATAGGGATGAGAGGAGAGAAGGTGTAGAGAGGAAGTAGGGTATTGAGAGGAGAGGGGGAGGGGAAAAGAGTAGGAGGGGAGGAGAGAAAGAGGAGGGAAGTAGGGAATGTTTTAAGAAAGGGTGGACGCAGCCTGGGGGGAATGGGCGGGTCGCACCAATGGTTATGAATTTATCTTATTTTAAAATTGTATTGTATTTTTATAATGTTTAAATGGAAAAAATAAAAATTTTCAATAAAAAAAAAAACCAACAGAACCACAGCCAGATGCAACAAGAGATTGAAGATGTCTGATAGCCTCCTTCCTCCTGGCCTCTCATGGGAAATGCATCCTTTCTCCCCTCTTCGCATGAACACCTGCCTTACTCATCGAATCCACCAGGGGCTACGCAGAGAAGGCAACACCATGAACTTCAGCATTGAAGCACCAGAGGGCAAATGCCACACATTACTTTCCAGAGGGGGGATTGGAAACTCATTGACATCACTGGGTCTTGAGTTTTTAGGATGCTGTATTCACTCTCTTTAACTGTTTGAGCTGTGCTTGAAAGGAAGAGATCCAGAAAAGGCCAGAAGTCAGATGGTTCTTCTTGTACAGTTATTTGTGAGGGTTGCTTCTTTCTTACTTTGCCGCC